TGGAGTCTCTCACCCAGACTGGAGTGCAGCGGCCACTCCCGGCTACCACAGCCTCAACCTGCTGGGCTCTGGTAATCCTTCTGCCTCAGCCTTGCAAGGAGCCAGAACTACAGGCGTATGCTACCACGCCCAGTTAATTTTTGATTTATTGTAGAGACAAGGTCTCACCCTTGTTGCCTGGGTGGGTCTTGAACCCGCAGGCTCAGGCAATCCACTCGCCTCAGCCTCCCAAAGTGGTGGGATTACAGGCAGAGCCACCAAGCCCAGCCAATATATCTTATATTTTTCTAACATGTAGTAACAATCTGCCTTCAACTTCATAAGTCATTTTTTCTTCTTTTTTTGGAGTTGGGGTTTCACTTTGTCACTGGAGTGCAGTAGCATGCTCATGGCCAGTACAGCTTCGACCTGCTGGGCTCCGGCGATCCTTCTGCCTCAGCCTTCCAAGTAGTTGGAACTATAAGCGTGCACTACCAAGCCCGGCTAATTTTTTATTTATTGTAGAGATGAGGTCTTGCCAAGTTGCCCAAGCAGGTCTCGAACCCGCGGGCTCAGGTAATCCACTCACCTCAGCCTCCCAAAGCGCGGGATTACAGGCTGAGTCACCGAGTCCGGCTCATATATTCTCTTTCTATGTGATGCCAGCTGATTTTTTTTTTTTTTTTTTACATATATCTCAGTATATATTCCATCGCTTTATTTGCTTTTTCATGCAATTTGAATGGAAAACTTCAAGGAAACATACATTTTTGAAATATCTGTGTTGATCTAAGTTTGTTCTATATAATCACCAGAAATCTCCTTATGTCCCTTGAGAGGCTATCCGAGTGGTTTGCTAGAATCAAATGTCCCTCAGAGGGGACATGCAAGTGCAAAGAACTAGTTTTTAATTTCATAAAACATTTTCTAACAATGTAACCCAACTTTCTTAGTTTCACTGTATCTCATTATAACTGTCATGAACTACAACTGGTAGTTCTATCTCGTGGGACTCCTATTTATAAAATATTAATATTTTACATGGCTCTTGTAGCACATTTCTTTTTAGCCTAATCTTTGAAAAAACAGAAAAATTACTCAAAGTTCTAAGTAGTATACAAATTTTAAATGTTGATATTAAATCATGTGTTATATAGCAGTCGTGTAGAGAAAATGAGATATCAACCCCAAATCTTACAAGTTGTGGCCTCAGATTTTTCTGAAAAGACAAGCACTTACTGAAATGCATTAAATTTTCAATTCTTTGAGGCTAACAATTTATAAAAGATTTTTTTTTTTTGAGTTGGAGTCTCACTCTGTCGCCCAGACTGGAGTGCAGTGGCCGCTCCCGGCCACCGCAGCCTCGACCCGCTGGGCTCCGGCGATCCTTCCGCCTCAGCCTTCCGAGTAGCTCTGG